GGAGGGTAGTAAGGGTCCGGATCTCAACGGGGAGGTCGTTTCAGAGGGCCGGAGCTGCAACAGAGAAGGCTCTCCCCCGGGGAGCCGCCAGCCGACATTGGCTGGCGGATGGAATCCGGGGAAGGCCAAGTCTGTGCGATCAAATCGGTCTTTGGGAGGTAATTGGCAGGAGGCGGTCTCTCAGGTACCCAGGTCCTGAGGTTGTGAAATATCTTGAAAGACTGTTGGCTGGGATTTTGCTGGAGAGGAATTCCCTTTAAACTAAATAAAAGGGGTTTTATCGGGACGAGGAGTCGGCTTCGTGCTTTTAGGAAGCCTAGGTCAGAACAGATCCTTCCCACAAAACAGATCCCTTCAACGCATGGCCCTTCTTCTCTTCTCAATATCCCAGTTCCGAAATGTTAAATATTGGTCTCTGCCTTCGGTTCTTTAGCACCCTGGATTCAGAACCCGCTTCTTTTCTTCAAGCTAAAGAATCCAGAAGGGGAAACATACTCCGACGCCCATCTATAACCATCTACCTCTTACCCAACAGGTGTTTCATGATGGCCTGGTTCTGGTCCCAAATACTGTTGAAGGTACTCCACTTGGAGCGCCCGTCCGGCAATGGGTTTCTCTTGATCCATCCCCCGCAGGCATACTGGTAAAAATCATCGCAGGGCTTGACACCTGGATCCAGAGCTTCCAAGATCTTACCAGCTACAATGACGCAGGCTTCGGTAAGGCAGGTTGTATGCGAGGGATCTGGAAGAGACACACACAGAGATTACGTGGGAGTAGGAATGGATTTCCAGAGGGGGCGTGGGGGAAAATTGCAGACTACAGGAACGATTTGCACTACTCAGGTGACTCCGAGGACACAGATAAACCCCCAAGGGCTTCAATGATTCTCTAAAACAGGGTTGTCAAACTCAAGGCCCACAGGCCGAATCCTGCCCATGGGGTGCTTCAATCTGGCCGACAGGGCCACCCTGGGAACAGCGAAGGATGGGCCCATGGTGCCTCTGCCAGTTAAAACAGTGCTTGGGAGGGCCGTACACAGCCTCCTGAGCTCTGTTTTTGCTGGCAGAGGATTACAGGAGGCCATTGGACAGTGGTGGGATCCCAAAATTTTTTGCTACCGATTATGTGGGCATGGCTTGGTTCCTCTTGAAATTATGCCTGTCTCTTTAAGACACTGAGATATTGAGCATGGTCAAATTCAGTGGTGAAATTCAAATTTCTTTACTAGCGGTTCTGTGGGCGTAGCTTGGTTCCTCTTGAAATTATGCCTGTCTCTTTAAGACACTGAGATATTTGAGCATGGTCAAATTCAGTGGTGAAATTCAAATTTCTTTACTAGCGGTTCTGTGGGCGTAGCTTGGTGGGCGTGGCAGGG